CACAGCACACTCACACACACACGTCTTCACATCCAGTGCGAGGACTGGAATTGGGAACCGCTGATGTAGCTTATTGTAGTAATGTTGTCACTGGTATTTTGGTCTGTGAGCGTATGTGCGTTCAGGGGGCGTGGCTTTGGACTGCGATTGCAGGGAGGGTGGGACGTTTGCTTTCAGTGCTATCAGGCTAAAGTTAGCATTTTCCAAGATCTCCTACTGCACCTTTAAAGACATAAGCCAGGTTAATAAGAGAGAGAATAAGAAAATAAGACTAAAACTAACTTATTCTTGGTAAAATCACTGCGATGCATGGCTTTGAATGGCTTAATGCTTTAATAACATGACAGCAACAGCAGCTTGATAACGAAAAAAAAAAAAAAAAATTATTTCATGAAATTAATTGATCAATTCATTTATTTAAAAAAATTATATATATTTTTTTATAAAAATAGTTTTTATATAAAAGGTTCAAATGTGAAATTTTAAACCACTTACAATGCAGTGTTATTTTCAACTAACACAGAAAAATATTTTTTTGTTAATTGAAATAAAGAAGGAACAAAATAAAGTATTAAATGATAAAAAAAACTTAAATGAAATTAGACATGTTAAAAATAAATACATAAAAATAACAAAATGAAAAATGATCAAATACATTAAAATAATAAAATAAAGATGAATAGAAATACACACACACAGACACTTATACAGATAAAACTGGCAAAAACCATTACAAAATTACTGAAACTTTAACTAAAATTAAAATATATAACAGTGCTTATACTGTATGTGCCATTATTACACCTTAAGATAAACTCTAGAATAATGTAGATTTAAAGCTATTGCATTCTAGCACAAAAAATATTTGAATATTTCAGTTAGCAATTAGCATACTCATTTTTTGTACACTATACAGTTGTCTCATAGGATATCAGCACACTTCACAAACACATGCTAGCTTCCAGTAACGGTTCCTTGAGTTCCTGTCCTCTAGATAGACGCGGTTGGCATGGACTGTGTTTTGTGTCTATTAATTGAATTCTCATGGGGGCAGGTGAGAGAATGAAAGCTTGTTTCTGGAGCAGAAGTGGGCTAGATCCCAGGATGGGCCTGTGACGTGACACCAGCCTGGACTGTGCCTGTGGTAAAAATACCGGCCCCTGGCTGGCTGGCACCGGTCTCTTATCTGTTCATTTAAACATTATGGCTATTTTTAACTTCATGAGTGGGTTTGTGAAGAGCTCTCAACTCGTATACTGACAGGTACTAAATTTAAATGCACACTCGCACAGCGCAAAAAGCCATTCATATTCAGTGAGTCACTGACACTTTGGTCAGTTTAGCTGTTATGAGATGATATTTATGACTTTGCTGATGACTAGTCTGTGTTTTGGCTGGAAGTATCAGAAAAAGCTGAAACTGACACCTACACTCTAAAAAATGCTGGGTTGTTTCAACCCAATGTTGGGTCAAATATGGACTAACCCAACCGTTGGGTTAAATTTTGGTTACATTTTTAAATTAACTTTTTAACCCAACAGTTGGGTTAGTCCATATTTGACCCAACATTGGGTTGAAACAACCCAGCATTTTTTAGAGTGTAGTTTGAATTCATCTGTACTCTTTCATTCGATTGAGAGCATCTCAGTTTATGGCCTGTACATTAAGACGTCACTCAGTTTTAAAATATTGACCATGATGGTCACATTAGCAGTGATAGATGTGAAAGCCAATGCGCTGTTCTGTAGGTGTGGGGCTGCAGTTCCCAGCATGCAACACAGCTCAAATCGGTAATGAGAATTAATGTTTTACCGTTTACTGTTATATTATTGCACCAATGTTGTTATGTTTGTTGTCCCTTTGAGTTATGCAGTGTCAATTTTGAGTGCAATTTCACATGTAAATCATTGTGGTTTGCACTCCAAATTAATAGTGGTTATTCGAATTCATTTCATCGAGTGGGTTCTTTTGGATGGATTGCTTCAGTGAATGCATTCAAAAAATAGCTCGTCAGTTTAAATTAGTTTGAAATTCTTTTGCTATATTCATAACAAAATACTAGCATACTCCACAGTATATATTAAATGGCTGCCAATAAAAAGGGGAAAATGCATTTAAATATTAAAATGAATCAGAAGAAATTTATTTTATATATAGAAAATGTTACAATTATTTAAGTTTTTTTTTGCATGGTGATATTATAAAAAAATATAATAAAATAAAAATATTTTATTAAGCATATTCCTTTTCTCAGTGTATCATTAATCTAATAAAAAAAATGCTGTACTACTGTAATAAAATAATCCTGAATGATTTTTAATTTAATGTTTTTAAAATGTATTTTAAATATGCATAATTACATTAATCTTAGTAAATACTATCCTGAATTTCATATAATATTTTGACAATATTCCAATAAAATTCCAAATGACAGTTTTTGCTCCTGAGTGTGTTTGTGCCATATACTGTGGTTTTAAAATGCCATGAAAATCTGTTTTGTTGTTTTAAATGGCTTAATTACACATTTCTCTTTTCCTTTCATAGATAGTGTTTTAACAGTTTTAACAGTCAACGTCTGTATCATGGGGAGCCTGCTGTTAACTGTTTCAGACTGTTTGTCTAAATATCATCTGTTTGTGTGTTTCAGCATTGGGATGTGTTTAAAGTGATCACAGAAGTGTTCATCCTGGTACCTGCTCTGGTCGGGCTCAAAGGAAACCTGGAGATGACTCTAGCATCTCGTCTCTCTACTGCTGTATGTAAAAATACTTATCCATCTGGACAATATATTCATTACTGTATGTACAGTTTATATTACTTATAATCTATCTCAAGCTGTATAGTGTTTAATAGCCTTGAGATGATCAAGCGTGTCTCGTGATTAAATTAAAATGCTTCACTGCGGTTTTGTTTCCCGTCTTGCTTAGGCTAACACCGGACAGATGGACGACCCCAAACAGCAGTGGCTGATGATGACCTGTAATCTTGCTCTCATTCAGGTGGCTGAATCAGAAACACACAGATGTTTTATATTATTTATATTATTGATATTTTACCTAATCCACCGGAAACCGGCTTTAGTTCCCGTCAGAGATAAATTAGACAATACAAACATGAATTAACTGAACAAACATTCATTAAATGTTAAATAAATATAAAAGAATATGAACAATTACTCTATGAGACTTCATTCTGCAAGAGTCCTCGGTCTTGAATACCAATGAGTACTCATTATGAAAATAGATTTTTAATCAGTTTAATTATAAATGAAGGCATATGATCTTAGGCTCTGATGAGCAGCTGTGATTGTGGAGCTGCTCTGCTGTCTTCCTCAGGTTCAGGCCACTGTGGTGGGCTTCCTGGCAGCTCTTGCGGCCGTAGGTCTTGGTGCTCTGTCCAGAGGGGGTGTAGAGCTGGACCAGGCGGCTGTCCTGTGTGCTAGCAGTGTTACCACCGCATTTGTGGCAGCTCTGTCCTTAGGTACACTACTCCTTATTACTTCAAAATAACATGAAATCAAAATGTGCTTTCTTAATAAATATCACTGGTCTTATTGTTTATGATTCACTAGTTTATGTTATGTAACATAAATATCATTTTCTCATTAGCTAGAAATATTTAGATATTTATATGCTTCTAAAATGATTTTAGTAACAAGCAACCAAGACTGCATAGATGGAAAAAAAAATACATATCATAAATAAAATTTAAAAAAAAACTTTTCACAATCCACAATACAGATAAAATCAAGTTCCAATATTTCTTTCTGCTCGGTATATACAAAAATAAGTTTAAAAGTAAAAAAAATATTTTTATTTTGTTTATTTTTTTTGAAGCAAGAATTTATTAAATTGATCAAAGGTGACATTAAAGACATTTACAACATTTACATTGATACAAAAATGTGTGTTCTTTCTATTCAACAAAGAATCCTGAAATAATGCATCACAGTTTCCACATATTAAAAAAATAGGAACACTGAAAACACAGTCTAGGTGTTGTTTGTTATTTAAAAATATTTTATGCCTTACTCAGAAATGTATTATACACAGTGTTGCATTGCACATCCTGTACAAGCTACAATGCCATTCCAGTACATATAAACAACATGAATTCCCATCACATTTCCATTAAAACTGTCCAACAAAAAATACATTTTCTTCCAGTCTTCTGTGTCACATGATCCTTTAGAAATCTTTCTAATAGGCTGATTCATGCTGCTTAATAAAAGCATTTGCATTCCAAAAAGTAGGACCTTTCTGGATAATGCAACACAATCTTTTAGTCTTTTTCTTTGAATCTTACATTTGTTTGAATATTACAATCTAACATTATCCTGTCAGTTACTGAGTCTGCTGCTTTCATCCGCATCCAGGTCTGGTGATGATTGGTGTGATCATTGGCTCCAGGAAGGTGGGCATCAACCCTGATAATGTGGCCACACCGATAGCAGCCAGTCTGGGAGATCTCATCACTCTTTCTCTGTTGGCTGGAGTCAGCAGCACACTGTTCCAGTACAGAGGTGTGGGGCCTTTTAGTTATTCATATATTAATAACTTCTAGTTTAAAACCTAAAACCTGTACATTACATATTGTTAAAAAAGGCTGATATTTATTAACAGCCTTAATTACTGACAATCACTAGATTAAAGCAGTGTTTAAAAAAACTTTTAGAAATTATTGTGCAATTTAAATTTTCATAACTTATTCAACTTGCTTTTATATATATTAAGTGATTATTAAATAATTAAGTTATAATGTATAATAAAGTATTATTCTTTTTTATTTATATTAATTAAATTAAATATATATTCAAATATTAACTATACAAAATTAAATAAAATTATATTACAATTAAATCAATTAAAAATAAATAACTTTTTATTTTAGAGCCTCTAAATATTCCTTACCTAATGAGCATGAACTGTTTAAAATGTACCAGAAGAGGGCAGTAGAAATTCACCAAAATATTACTTTATTACAAAGATGTGCATTTTAAGGTGACATGGTTTCCATGGTTAAAGATGACGTTAAAGAATGGGAATCTTCTTTCTATTTTGTAACATCACATATGTTTTATTCTCTAGAGACCTTAAAATCTGAATTTGCACAAATCATAGCACATTATCTGAAATATGTAACTATTTACTAGGTCTAGCATGTGTCATCGACAATGTTTGTGTGTGTCCAGATGTGTGGTACTTGTCCCCGTTGGTGTGTGTCTTCTTCCTGCTGCTCATTCCTCTCTGGGTGCTCATCGCTAGACGGAGTCCACAGATTAAAGAGGTTCTGAAGTCCGGCTGGCAGCCTGTTATAGTGGCCATGTCCATCAGCAGGTACAAACATGACACAGACACAGTCTTCTATGAGTTAGAGTAACATTAAAATGGTTATATAATCATTAATAACAAATTAATTGTGCCTGTAATAGAGGACGCAGGGTTCCCACAGACAATATGGACCCCCTGGACCACAAAACCAGTCATAAGGGTCAATTTCTCCAAATTGAGATTTATACATCATCTGAAAGTTGAATAAATACGCTTTCCATTAATGTATGGTTTGTTAGGATAGGACAATATTTGGCCGAGATACAACTATTTGAAAATCTGGAATCTGAGGGAGCAAAAAAATAAAAATACTGAGAAAATCACCTTTAAAGTTGGTCCAAATTAAGTTCTTAGCAATGCATATTACTAATCAAAAAGTTTTTATATATTTACGGTAGGAAATTTACAAAATATCCTAATGGAACATGATCTTTACTTAATATCCTAATGATTTTTGGCATAAAAGAAAAATCGATTTTTTGATACTTTGAAATTTTGACCCATACAATGTTTTTTTGGCTATATACCCCAGCGACTTAAGACTGGTTTTGTGGTCCAGGGTCACATATATAAATATCAAGAAATTTTAAAACTGTTTTTTTTTTTTTAAATCAATCAGTTGATATACATTTTTTTTGTGTAGAAATTGACTCTAAAATGATTAAACATTATTAACTAGAAATTGCTCAGTTTAAAGTGTAGTCACGTATCATAAATAATTGGACAACTACTAAAAATTAGTTGGCCTAAAAGTATGAGAACCCAGTTGATTAGCTGTGGCATAATTTTGACTAAGAGATTTTGACATTTAATTTTCACATAATTTTTGTGCTTGGAGCTCACAGAAAAAAAATAGAGATGGTTCAGTTTACTCATTTTTTGTTTCTCTTCTAAAATATTAAATAATGTAAATCTCTAATATGTGTAATCTACTAGATTACATTACAATATATAGAACTAATTAATGTTGAAAAGATTATTGCTGTTGATATTACTCAAACTAGCATGCTAATATGTCCTATTCCTAGCTAATAGATTCTTTACACAGCTAACTAGTACAACTTTGTAATTCAATAATATAACAACAGAAATATTATATTAAATTCAATAAAATAATCCTTTCAGGGAACCATATAAAATAACTTATGTTTTTAAGTGACCCAATTAAGTAGGTCACTTAAAAGCAACTTAACGGCAACCACATGTGACGACCCCGGGCTGGACTCCGCTTCGTACACAGTGAAAGCCGATCTGCCGATCCACAGCGCGAAGTTGATGCATTTCCTCAGCAACCAGCACAGATCAGCTCCAGGCATGACGAAGCCATATCGTCCTCTTTTGGAAGGCCAAACAAATTAGTTTCGCTAACGAAACACACAGCACCTTCACAACATGGCGGCAGCAACAATACTACAGCGAGAATAAAAGTTACGCCTTCTTTCTTTGCGTGAACATTTGGGCGGCGTTATGCAAATCTTCCCACATCGTGACGTAGACATGTGGGGGCGTGTTAGAACGAGCCATTTTAGGTAGGCGTGGTTGACTCTTAACTTTTATAAAGAGTATCTCTTTGGATTTGAGACTTTAGTCTTTGCAACTTTACAGATCTTCTTTATGCACCAAGAGCTTGTAACACTTCAAAGAGAAAGGAAAAATTGAAATCACATCATATGACCCCTTTAAGTTACATTAGCATTTCCATGTTAGCAATTAGCAATTTTTTTCCTGATTAAGAATTATTAAAAAAAGAAGAAATAATTATAAAAACAAAACAAAAAAGATGTGCATGATTAAATGATGTAAATTCAAAACACTTTATTTTTTTACTATGGCAGAGGGACAAATGAGAGAAATATAATTTGTGGGTTAACTAATCAAAACATTTAAAATTCATGAAACTCTTTCCAATTTAAGTTTCGGAGGCCTTATTCTTGATAAGACTGTGAGCGATCCAAACTTTGAGGGAATGGCGGTCTTCACACCAGTCATAAACGGTGAGTAAATGTCAATGACAAATCACACTTCGAGCAAAGACACCTTTCACATACTCAGATCTTTCACATAACCACACTGAATGCACAGTATGCAGTACAAAGTAACATCAAACCTGAAAAACAAGTTCAGAAACTTAATTTAAGGCCCTTTTCCCTCTTCAACTTCTCATTACAATAAAATGAATCACATCTCTTTCTGCGTTTGGAACTCGATTCGTGGATTCAGGGAGGCGATTGGACAGCGCTGCCAAAATAAAAGTCTCATTCCAAAATCGTCTCAATAAATCAGAGCACTGGCTCTTGGCTCACGACATTTTATAGTACATGAAAGCAGTCAAGTATTTTGATGGGAGTTACTAATAGACTTAAAAACCCCAGCTGAGGCAGAGTTTGTTTGGTTTTACGTAAAATATCACTTTTTTGGTTTGTCAGCTCTAGCAATCTGGTTTCGATTTCCCCTCGCTGGTTCCGTTCCTACCCAGCTGCACATGTACTCTACCCGTCCCGTCCCTCTCTAACGATGACTCAACACTATATTGGCATTAATTACACACTTCCCAATGGGAATAGAGCATGTCGGAGTAGTAAAAGTGGCCTAATCCAGTAGTAGCTGTGATTTCTCAGCCAGACTTCTCTGACGTCTTCTCTAGTTGTTTATCTGGATCTGGCACCCTATTTTTCCAGCTCAATCCTGAGACAAACTGCCCTTAATGAGGAACACAAGACGGCTGTGATTCAGGAAGACTAATTTGATACTTCATTACCTAATTTGATGTGCCCTCCTGCTGTAATATTCCCCATAGAGTGTCTTTTGCCAGTTTTACATCGAGCGAAAACATGGAAAAGCTATTAATTGTGAACAAAGTACTCTGAAAATATGCTTACGATGTATATTTGACAAACGTCAGTGTACACACTCCCCTAGCCGCATGCTGCATTCCAACACACGTTTCATTTGCGACTGAAATGAGGAGAATATGAGAATTGTAATGGTGTAATGATTGGAAAGCTCTCACATTCTTTCCTTTTTGAACTTTTCAGGTGTGGGGGGGAATCTGGTGGCCATCCAGGCCAGTCGGATCTCCACCTACCTTCATTTGTGGAGCATACCTGGAGTCCTGCCCTATAAGATGAGACAGCACTGGCCCAACCCCTGTGCCACATTCTTCTCCTCAGGTGAGGTCACTTTCAAACTATTTGTGCACCTCAGATGAATTCACACCTTCAGATACTTGAGATAAAGTGGGTAATTAGTCGTGTTGGGTAAGTCAAGCTTTGCTATTGCTGAACAAAGCATGAACCCTGATATTTGCACTTCAGCACATTAATCATCTGCACCGTTCGTGCTACATACATGAATGATATCTCAAACCATGCTGTTTTTTGAGGAGGGGTGTGCTGTTCATTTTCTTAAGTGTTAGACTATGATTTCTCAACAAAAATAGTGTAGATTTACATTGAAGGAGAGGCTTGAACCTTATTTAGAGACCACTCGGGGATGGGCTTTTGAAGTAATCTAGTAAAAAAACACATTTTCCTCCTCAGGTGTGAACTCTAAGTCAGCGCGGGTGCTGTTCCTCCTGGTGGTTCCAGGTCATCTGTTGTTTCTTTTTGCCATTAATATGCTCCAAGGAGGCCACACTGCCATCACGCCAGCATTTATCTGCTGCTACTTGGGTGCTGCTCTGCTTCAGGTGAGCCTTATTGCTCAAAGCTTAAGTGTTTCAGTTCTGCGTCACTAGTGCTGGCAAACAGAATTGCAAAAAGAATTACTGAATGACCACAAAAAATGGCATAAATTAGTTTTTGCCCAGTTAAAAGTTTAGATGAACACTGACTATTAGTTGTTTACAGTGATATGAAACAAGCAATGTATATTAATTTTTTCTCTCTTAGATTTTCATCATCTGGCTAAAAAAAGCATGAAAATAGTGCTTTTATTGTTTCAGGTCAAATGTGGAAATTGGTGTGACTATTCAGCCTCCTCCCAACTTCCTAATTGAATGATGTGGCTAAAAATACAATTTATTAGCATTATAAAATAGGGTGTGTTTTTAAATGTGACTAATCCTGAATTGTACTTAAAGTCTTAAAGGGGTGGTTCGCTGTTTTTTTTCTAGGCTTGATTGTGTTTATGGGGTGCAGTGTAACGTGTTAATGCTTCGTTTAAAAAAAAAAAACGCATTATTTTTCACATAATTTACCTTTATTCCACACCGCTCTGTCCCTTCTCTGAGAAACGGGCTGATCTTTTCCTGTTTTTTTGAAGCCCCGCCCTCAGAAATAGGCGATGGGCTCTGATTGGTTAGCTAGCCCAGTGTGTTGTGATTGGCTAAACCGTCTCTAGTGCGCGTCTAATCGTCCCGCCCCTCACCTCGGCGGCATGTGCTCCGGTTGCATTGTAAACAACGGCGTCGTTAATATCACTTATCAGTTTGAGCCCGATTGAGAAGCAGAGGATATTATTGAAGAGGATCGTGCAGAACCTGCGCAAGCACTGCTTTTAATGGGCCTATGTTTTTTGTTTGTTGTTGTCTCATACTTTTAGATGTGCTGTTATTTGTAAATGCTACTGCTTATGTTAGCTTTTAATATACGGTTTTATCCTGATTAAAGCTTTAATACAGTACGGCAACTGCACGCGCGTCCATGTTTAACGCTTATCATAGCTATGTGAAAATAAATGTATAATTGGAACATTTCATTGTTGGAGCTGAGCTGTATGCTCAAACAGCAACATTACGTACTAACTAACATTAAAAAAGTGAAATCGCAATCAACCACCCCTTTAAAGAAATCTCTTGGAAGTAAAATACTAATAAAGGACCCCAAAAGGAAGTAAAGATATTGGTCAGTTTTACTACTATATGTAGAGTAATACAATATGTACAGTAATAGTGTGAAATATTATTCAGTTTTTAACTCTTTTCTATTTTAATATATTGTAAAATGTAATTTATTCCTGTGATGAAAAGTTGAATTTTCAGCATCATTACTTCTGTCTTCAGTCACATGATTCTTCAGAAATCAATTTTATATGCTGATTTGCTGCTTTATGAATATCAGTGTTTATCTGTTTAAAAAAAGTGCTGCTTTTTTGTAGTTTTTTTTGATAAATATAAAGTTCAAAAGAACAGCATATTTGAAAAAAAAAAAATGTATATAAATGTCCTTATATTGTCCCTTTTGATACATTTTGTGCTTCCTTGCTGACCAAAAGTATTATTAAAAGTATTAATTAATAAAAGATTAATATTAATTTCATTTAAAAAGAAAAATCAGTCTGTTTTCATAATATGGGAAATAATTGAATGTTTATTCTTGTTTTTCTTCACAGGTTGGGATCCTAATTTATACAGCAGACCTGATTGTGCGTTTGATGTGGAGGAAAGGTCTGGACCCGGATAACTTCTCCATCCCATACCTGACTGCGCTGGGAGACCTGTTGGGCACGGGTTTCCTGGCCCTGTGTTTCCGTTTGGTCATGTTAGTGGAGGAGCTCGGCTTGTAAACTGCTAGACCTCCATTTTTATGCGCCATGTATAAATTGAATTTGAAGTTTGCAAGATTTAAGACCTTGAAGGATTCTGGGATGTTTGTTTGATGTTTATTATTATTTTTTTTTTAAATATTGTTTTTGAATATATGATTTAGGATTGATTTCAAAGAAAATGGGAAAGTCTCAAAACTTTGAAGGTCATTCCTTTGTTGTTTTAGTAACTACATACAAGGTCATAATTGCTGCTAGATATTTTTACTGGATACTATATCTCATATACAGAGGGTCTACTGTACCTCTCAGTTTGTAATTTTTTTGCACCTGAAATAGTTTTTTTTCAAAATACCACACTTTGGAAAAAGGCAAAATCTTATAATGAATGTAATTGTTTGTTCACTTGAATGAATTGATGGCAATTATATTGTTCATGTGGCAGTTTTATTCAACACATTTGTAATATCGTCACTCTGAATTATAATTAACCTTTATCACATTATTTATCTACAGTTGAGTGTTGTGGTCCCTAAAACAGTAAAAAAAAATAATTCACATTTGTCCAGAAAACAAAGTTTCGTACCAGAGGCAGTGTGCCTTTATAATTAAATGTTAACAAAAAAAAAACGGAAGCACATGAAATAATAATGGTTGGTTGATGTATTCCCTGTTGTCCACTAAAAAAAAATGTAAAAGTTTATTTACCCTTCAAAGCAAGATTCCATACTGTCTAGTGCACAGTTTTGCAGCACATGTATGCCCACAAGCTTTCAAAACAGGTGCAAACTGTTAAGTTACATCACAAATGGCACATACTGTTGCCACACTCTCAACAGCTCAGCTCATACAGTGAAAGGCTTTCCCACACTCACATTTCCCATATGAATCCTCTAACAACACATTCATAATTTGCCATCAGAATAATGACATTACGACAGGACAAAAGCACTGGGACTCCTGCAACTTTCAAATCGAGACATGACATTCCTCTTCAAATGATTAAATATATTGCCCATTGAAATGTATTATAAACCTAGACTTATAGATGACTCCCTTTGTCCTTACAAAAGGCTGTAATATTCCAGCTCAAAATTGAAATAGAGCCTAACTAGCTAGATAGAAAATATTTTCCAAAAAAACATTTCCAAGAGCAATTTGGGAAGGTTCGTTATGCAATGTGGCACACAAGGTACCCACTGGTGCACCAGGACATGTCTGCCTGTCAGCCAGATATTAGTCAGACTCCTTCTTCTGACCCTTTCTCTAAAGATTTCATCATCATTTCAACCATAAAAGCCTATATAAATAGCCTTTTTCGCAGACAAGAAGAAATACCTAAATTATTCAGTGTCATTTCAACCAAGTGCTAATGACCCAAAAGAACAGTCGTGAAAACTAATAAGACATTAAACTGTACTGTCAGGGATTGATTTTCTCTCACTTTAAGAGTTCTAAGGGATAGAAAATCCTCTAAACACATACTGGTACCTCTCTAAAAACCTTTATTGCACTTCAACCCTTATTATAAATTCATAAGACGAGTGTTTCCTCCCAGGATCATGCTGATGTTTGACCTGCAATGACCAGTGAGTAGTTTAGACCTCACCCTGCATCCATAGCTTAACAAGAGCCGCACTGATGAGGGTCTACCTTTTCCCAACCACAGCTATGCACTGTTTACCTAGCCCGTTGCATGCTAAATAAAGAGGTGACTCTGTGAGAACACCATTTCTTTCCAGAGTAGCTAAACCGGCCAAGGTAGACAGCCTTGTCCAGTTTGCGAATGCAGGAGAAGTCTAAATTCTTCCCTTACCCTTGTCTCCTTCCAACATGTTACCAGCTATCTGCTTGAAAAAGTTGACGGTTTGTGACTTGGAAACTACCTTTGTGATTGGGCGTAAGGTTAAGGTCTGAAATCATATCCAGGGAATGTTAAAAAGGAGGCTTTGAGATCAGCTTCAAGGAATCTCTTCGAGATTAACATCAAGGCTTTGCTGGTTCCAGTTCAAAAGCAAAATCCACAATAAATATGCTACGTAAACAATACCATAAATATCCTTTTGGGTGGTGAAGATTAAAGGAGATGAAACATTCATAGCATTTGTCTGTTGATGAAGAATCCCGCTTCACTTATCAACATTCAGAAGGACAAAGGCACATACTTGGAGCTCGGTTGCAAGTTACCAAAGCCAAAGGAATTACAGACAGTATTTTGTGAACTTTCGGGATGGGATGAAACACCCCAGCCAGCACTAATCTGTTCACAATGCTGAATTTTGCCTCAAGGGAGCGAGGGCGACGCCATATCCAAGGCGCATCCTCTACAGGTTCCCTCAGGTAATTCACTCGAATCCAGACACAAGAGCGAAAGTTTAAGCATCAGTGCCCGCAAGACTCACATCCGCGTGTGCAAGTTATGGATCAGTTGAAACTTGCTGAAACCCTCATCTCAACTTCAAGTATGCCGGCACAGAGTAGTTAAAAAGCAAGAAGTCCATTCGGTAAAGGTTGAAGAGTTTCTTCTGGTAAAACGGACTGATGTTGTCGAAGAACTTGGCAGCCATGTCACCCGTGGTCCTGGTGCTTTTGGACGTGGCCGGGAATTTGACCTCTCCTTCGGCACCTGCTAACTTCAGGATGTAGCGCGAATCTTGCGCAAGAGTCTCGTACTTGCCCACCACGTCATAATGGATCAAGCAAGGGTGGCAAAGCGAGTGAACCCTTTCCCAGTGCTCATTGAACGGTTCCTCTCTCTGAGTCTGGGGGTCTACTAAATAATACACAAATTCCTCGAAGGAGACATCGTTGCCTTTTTCCAGTGCTTCAGCCTGGGGGTCCGCACGATGCCTCCGGATGATTTTGGTTCCGTAGCGTTTGTGGAAGGCCGTGTTGTAGCTACGGGTAAACTTGTTGCGATATGCCGAGACAAGTCTTTCGACGGGTTCGCGCACAAAGACGAACTTCAGATATGTGCGTAGGCGCTTGTTGATCTCAGCCGTGGAGTACTCTGAGAGCGAACGCAGGTTGCCTGCTACGTGAGCCTCGTTGGCCGGAATAGCCAGTGGTTCGCGATAGCGCCCATCTCCTGTTAGTACCATCAACACACGTTTCCAGTTTGTACATGCCACTTTGGGGACGTAGCAATACAATAACTTGTGTTTATCGTCCACTATGAGGTGGCGGAGGTCCTCCGGGCCAAGTACGCGTCTTTTGCGGGTGTGGGTGCGACAGGTTTCCTCCAGGAGTTCCCTTCGACCCTGCAGAGTGGCTTGCACTGCAGACTGCTCCAGCTGGAGGACAGGAAGGAATGGTATAAGAGGAAATGGAATGAAAAAAAGTCACATGGGTTCAGAACAGAATTTCATTTTTGGGTGAACTATTGATTTAAAATTGAAGTCTTTTCTTCTGAAACCGAATATAGGATTTCTTAACAGTGCACTCATGGGAACCACAGATTGCACTACATGCGAACACAGGTATTTGCGTGACTTTATGTGATACGACAGTTGCTGTTTGAGGGAAGTTCTTGTGAAACCATGAGGCACATAGCTGTAATGGGAGGGTAACGGTTTTGCCTGGGGGATGAGCCACAGATGGGTTTGATAACGGCAAGAATATAATAGGATTTGATGAGCTGGTAGTGTTTCAACTGGAAGGATTTTATCTAGACGTTCCACTCAGACCTTTAAAGGGATAGTTCACCAAAAAATGAAAAGTCTGCCATCATTCACATCATGTCATTCTAAACTCATACAACTTACTTTTGTCCGTAAACCACAAGAGCATCCTGGCTGTTTGCTTCCATTACACAGTGAAAAGATTCTGTAAATCTCCAAGACTATTGTATGGCTTTTAAATAATTTGAATATGGTGCACAAGTTAATGCGGATTACTCTTAATATACTGTTTGCCAATTTTGACAGACCCTTTTACTTTTATTATATGAAAAGAGTAGCCAGGATTATTCTCTTTTCAACAGAAGAAAGTCAGTCATACAAATTTGGAAAAACATGAGCAGTCTAAAACATACTAAGTTAAGTTAAGTACTACCCTGGCACAGTTGTGATGCATATAATTTCGTTTTGTCAGATGGTTTGCATGTGTCTTTATGAGATGATGATTGTGTAAAAATAAGGTGTTGGGGGTGAATGAATTAAGCCACTTCAGGAATGTGAGGTTGTTATTTTAGTAACCCCCCCATTTCATTGCTGAAATACATACCTGGTCATTTTCTTGTAGTGTCTGCAAAGGACTTCTTCCCGATTTAACTGAGAAACTGTTCCAGCCCGAAATCTGTTCAGAAGCTACAAGCACACAACAAATGCAAAAGATGAGAAATGGCAACAGAAAGATAATGGATCTAAAAGCAAAACATTTAGACATCCATTAAACATTTGTTACTTAAACATTGGTAAACATTGGTTAATTTTATTGCTATTACATATGGTCATTGTAAATTCAAGCCTCTAACCCCTAAGCTTTAAACTTCGGTGTGCATCTCGCATTGAGAGCTGTACGAGTAATTTATGCTAAACATCTTTTTTAACCATACATTGAGTGCATTAGCTTTATATTAAAGGAACTTATATTGATCAGAATATCATAGAGACTCAAAGGTGGGGTCTTTTGATGTGGGCTAAAGAAACCACCCAGAACACCCTAGAAACCACATAGCAACATGCTAAAATCCACTCTGAACTCCCTAGCGACCACATAGTACTGCCTTGGCAACCACTCACAACATCCCAGCATTGTGACAGCAAGTTCTGCATGTTCAAGCACCACTCGAATTTTCCTCCGAAAGAGCTTCTTTGGGGTTAAGAGACTCATGACCTTGTGTGGAGAGGACAGAGATCAAAGCGCTTTGTCTGAATGATCACGTTATGGAGCTATAAAAGATTAGAGCTGTTAATTCTCAGCATATGGGGTCCAGCGGTGTTCAGGCTGGTCCACAATTACTGCCTTCTCTGACTCCTGCACCTAGCTGATTGGCCATAAAATTCCTCCTTCACATTTGCATTCTCTATAGGAACAGTCTGTTCTCTTCAGTCCAAACCACTTCCCCCATTACTCCCCTTCTCACCCACTCTCTCTCTCTCTCACACACACACACACACACACACACACACACACGCACACACACACTCTCTCTCTCACAC